CTAAGGGCCCGCCTGCGTGTGTGGGCTCAGGGCGAGCAGATGGTCAGCGTGAGCCCCAGAGCCGAAGTGCCCAGTCCGTGGCCACAGCTGTGACTCAGTCCAATGCGCCAGGCACAGTGGGACTGTGATTTCCAGTTAAGGTAGCCCGGACCCTGCACTGGAGCTGGCTCATTCTAGGCTTGACGACCGACTGCGGATGTGCGGAAAGCACCAGCTAAGAACACGACTTGTCAAGAGTCGTCAGCCAACCTTCATCAGCTCCTCCAAACACGAGAGGTAGATTCTGAAGATGGCTGCCGCGGAGGGAGGCCCGATGTACTGCTTGATGTCAGCCCTGTCCACGAAAGCCACGTCGATCTTCTCGGTGATGTTGGAGGTGGTCAGGATCACCACATTGGAATGCCTGTGGTGGCCGAGGAGCAAGGACGTCAGCGCGTGCCTCAGTGATAGCTCCCCGTGTAACGGCCATAGGAGGGACAGCCGGTGGGGGCCTGCCAGTGGGAGGCAGAGGCTCAGCTGCCCAGGGTCTAATGCCCCGGTGCCCCTTCCCCTGGGCACCCGGGATGAAAGCGACAGCGCCGACACGCTCCAGCCCCGTGCCTGGCTGACCCTGCACTTCAGAAAGCTCTCGACCCCGCGACCTGTTCCTCGCCTCTGTGCAGCGTCCTGTCGACCCTGCCCCCTGGCACTGAGCTGACCATGTGCCCACACTCCAGCCCCAGGAACTGCTGCCTCCTGCTTCTTCCGGCTTCCCAGTGCCACACAGAGCGCCACCGCCATTGGGTCTGCCTGCCGGGGCCCAGCACGAGCTGCCAGCGTGGGCACTGGTGTCCCAGGGGCTGCCGTGTAGGAGCGGGTTGCCCAGGTGAGCATGCAGCGTGGGGCTGGGGGACGTGCAGGTAGAGGCCCAGCCAGGGCCCACTTGTCATGGAGGCATGGGGACAGTAAAGCCAGCCCGGGACAGAGCCACCTAGAGGGGCCTGAGCCAGGAACATGGGTGACACATGCAAGAAACCAGGGCAGGTGTCCCTCGGCCCTCCCAAAGCCCAGCCCTGCACGAGTGATGGGAAGACGGAAGGGCCGGCAGGGTGCCATGTGTTGTGGAAGTTCCCAGGAAAACAGGCGGCTGGGGGGATGTGGAGCAGCACATGCAGCCTGAGGACGCAGGGAGGGAGGGAGTCGAGGAGGATCAGCATGCCTGGGTCTGCCTGCAGGAGGGTAAAGGGGAATCAAGAGGCAGGTGGGGCAGCTCTCCCAGGACCCTGCTGGTGCCCCCAGTAGCCCCTGCTCCGGCAACAGGGAC